CCGTCTCTCCAGATTTAGAACAGCTGGAATTCTTTGTCTCAACTGCCTTGAAGTCTATTGAGAGTTCATCTTCTTATCCTTTCTCTCCCACCAGGACTGATTGATTGATCAATGTATCTGTATTGCACAAACGCTATAATGCATCTAGATCTCATCAAAATAGTAACTGTTACCATTTTACAGTAGGAGAGTGAGGGGCCTCCCTCCTCTGTTCATTTCCCAGATGCTTCCTCAGCCCCGACCCCAATTCCAAACATGTTCTAACATGATGCAGCCCACAGACCTAGAAATAAGGCAAATCCCAGCAGGTAGCATGTGAGGAAAGACTTGAGTGTCATTATCCCAGGTTACGTCACAGTAAAATCATGATCATAATGATGAGAACCATGAAAAGAAAGAGAAACCATATATGATGTTTACCACATTCCCTGCCCCTGCAGGAACTCCTTCATTCCTGCCGACAAACCTTGAGATAGGTTTTGCTATTATTTCTATTACATAGATGAGGAAATTGAGGCATATTCCACTCCCCGTTCCATAGGGCAACATCCAAATGAGACTCTGTGGCCATGACAATCAGACCGATTGATTCAGCAGGGAAGAATGCAGGAAAATCTCTGAAAAGCCCATCAGCCACTTCTGCCTCCACAAGCGTGAGCAGCTGAGAAGGGAAATGCAGCCCCAACCTGCAGAGGCCAGGTGCTGACTCTAGCCGACCTGGTTCCACCCTTCATGGGTGGTGTGACCCCACAGGGCCTCAGTTCCCATCTGTAAAGTGGGGATAGTGATAGTACTGACTGCATAGTGTTGTAAGGATTGTAAGAACTAATATACACTAGGTCGTGCATGCAGTGGGTGCCCATACATGGTTGTTATTTATTTATTCCTTCACTGGCTGTCAAATAATGGGGATTCTATGATTTTAAGAAGGAAAAGTTGTGGCTCTGCCTATTCACCAGGCAGGCATGCATTTGCCTACTTCTGTTTGTCGCAGCTATCCTAAAAATGTAGCAGCATTAATACCCTATCATGTTTCTGTAGTTCTGACTATCTGATACAGTTGGCTGTTAATGATGGATGTTCTGTGGATTTGTTGGAAGTGGAACTAAGCCCTTTAAATTCTCATTTTGGTCTGATTTGTTACATAGAACACTAGGGCTATAGACACCATGGAAATGAAGAATTCACATTCAGGGCACTTTTACAGTTTCAGTGTCCAGCAAGGTTCTCTTTTATTCATTTGATTAGAATTCACCCTTGGCCTTTTTTTCCAAAACAGGATTTTAAGCAACCTCAGCTTCCCTTACAAAATGAGCCTTTGTTTCTAAAGATGCTGGGAAAGAATAGCCAGTTTGATAGCTCACACACAGACACCAAAGAAACCCTTTGTAATTCTTTTCTATCAATTCATTTTGCATTTAATATGGTTTCAGCAATTAGAGGAAGTACCAGGGAGACAGGAAAGGAATGAAAGATCTGTCTTTTTGTTTAGTTGGGAGGGACAAGAAATACAAATATATGGAGACAACTGGAAAATACTTTTAAAATAATTAGGAAATAAATAGTGTATCATGAGGCGGTCCAGAATGCCTCCAGGATAAAGGAGGGGAACAGAATGGAATAATCAGCTCTGAGAGTCTTAAGAGAAATGTCAAAAAGACAGACCAAGATTGCCAAAGACTAATAATGGTAATAGTTATTGCTGTAAATTATAGAGCTCTATCCTACACGCCAGGAGCTGTGCTATGCATTTTACATAGGATTAGCACCCTAAGAGGTCATTTATCTTGTTATCCTTATTTCACAGATGAGGACACCAAGATTGACAGAGATTAAGGAATTGTTCCCAGTTACAGAACTCCTAAGGCGTAGTGTCAGGATTTCAACCTAGATCTGTCTGACACAATCACATGTAGAGGAAAAACAGAAGGTCTGTTGGGGAGATCACCACTCTTCTCAGTGGCAGGAAGGTCAGAAGGTGAACAGAGAAACCAACGCTAGAACAGGGGCCACTGGGGTCACTAAGAAGAGGGAGAGGCAGGAGGTGCCTGTCAACAATGGCTTTGACCCTTAACCTGGAGAGTGTGGACCTAACCTAGTAGGTAATAGGGGCCCTCTTGGGTAGAATAACAGGATGAAACACAGTGGTGGCATAAGTAAACCTGCAACTGTGAGAAAAGAGACTGGAAGGCAGAGAAACTTGTCTTAAAGGGAACCAGGAAGATGTCCATGGACATTGGATGACAATGGCCAAGTCCAAAAGATAGAGTGTCAAAGAAATAGGCTCCTTGCTCTCGGTATTCTGATACCTGTGTGTAGCCCCAGCTCGCCCAAAGCCAAGAGGTCAATATGAGATTTCCATTGCTGCACTCAAATCTCTGAAAATAAAATGCTTTGACAGAGGGTTTCGTCTACTGGTTGACACTGGCAGGAAAGATCCTTTCATGACGTGGCAAAGAAAAGAAAGTGTTTCTGGTGTGCCAACTACGGGACACTTGCGCTATCACCGTATCTTCAAACCACATCACATTGACCACATTATCTTCTGCCTGTCTGTAAGGTGATATGTCTTTTCTCCTTTGGTTAGATTTCTCCCCCTCGTTAGTAAATCGTAAATACTTGTTTATGATCATCTGAATGAAAATACGGTAATCATGTATTTTTTTTTTTTTTTTTTTTTTTTTTTTTTGGTAATCATGTATTTTTAAACAATAAATTGGAATTTGTACCCAGCAGAAAAAATTAGTGATGAAAGAAGACATTGTTGTTTCCTGGCAGCCCTGCATCACTCCTCTCCTGATTGCTACTGCAGTGCAGGCTACTCCTTCTGTTTCCTCCCAGCCTGCCTAGACTAAAGTGGGGCACTTGGCCTGCGCAGTGATCACTCTCAGGCCAAACTACTTGTTGTGAGGTATTGTCCTCTTTGCTTGGAAAGAGCCACTTGCGGAAAAAATCTGGAAAATCCTAGATCTGGACAAAGATAAAAAACTCCTGGGATCCCACAGTGTGTCTGTACTACAAAAAGTTTTCTTTGATATTTATTTATCAAACAGAAAATATTTTTAAAAAGATCACCTTCAGGGCTTTCCTGGTGGTACAGTAGTTGAGAATCCGCCTGCCGATGCAGGGGACACAGGTTCGTGCCCCGGTCCGGGAAGATCCCACATGCCGCGGAGCAGCTGGGCCCGTGAGCCATGGCCTCTGATCCTGCGCGTCC